AAACTTCTGCCTTTATCAGTCATGGATTTGAAAAAAAAAAAAAGAGTCTCCAAAGACAGTGGAGGGAAATTCACATCAGCATCAGCAGCAGTTGTAGTGTTTTGTAGTGTTTGGGTTTCCTGTATATCGACTGCCTGCACGGGTGGCTATAGTTGAAACTCCACCGAGCCTCCTGGACTGGAGTGTGTGTCTTCTGGGCAAAATCTGTGGATTAAGGGAGGCCTGAACTTGAAACAGGAAAGGACAGAGCAGTCAATAACGCACTGATTAATGATAATGGCATGCAAGCCGGGGGGATAATCTTTCTAAGCTCCTTTTATCTACGGACCAATTGACTAAAAAATGGAGGATGGAAGAAAAAAAAAAAGAAGAAGCACCGATCCTCACAAAAACCTGGGGCTTTTAAAGAGTAACAAATGTGCGTGTATGTACTCAGTGTTTATCAGCTTGACTTAAATAAAATCAGTCGTTTTAGTCAAGAGGACTCAGAAATGTGTCCCTGCAGGTCAGCGTTTGTTCTGTTAATATCCAATATTTTACCCTGCAGTTTCTTCATCTGACTGTCGGTCAATCAGGGCGTTCTTCTGTCCGATTCGTCACAATAACAGATGCGTTTTTTTCCCCATTTTACCTGCCAATGTACTCATTGCTTGGTGTGAGATGGAAACAATGTTGGTTAATCCTGACCTATTCACATCAGCCCGGCCCAATTTAAGGCCATCTGAGGAATTTAATAGGCCCTGAGCTTAAAGCTTCATCCTCATCCACTTTCCTATGGATTTGCCACAGCTGCCAGCTAATTTATGCAGACTCATGAACCCAATTATTGTCTGTGTCCACAATGGTGAAGAAACACAGGGTCGCTCACAATCTAAAGCAGGATTCGATGGCGACTCTTGTGTTTGTCTGTTCAGCTTGTCGCCAAATGTGTGGACTGAAGATGGATGTTCTGTCCTACCCTTGGCTGAAAAGGGCAACTTTGTGAACTTGGCCCTCAGGGGAAATGCATGCTTTTGTCTTTTTCATTTCCTATCAGACAATACAATTTCTTCTTTAAGAAAAAACCGCCAAACTTCTCCGTGCTCTCTGAAACTCTTATTACCTCCATTTTCTTCCTCTTTGTAGTTCTCTGCGTCACGGATTCATCTCTTCTTCTTTGCTCCGATGCCAACCTGCCCCCCCCCCCACCTCCCTCCCCACCACTCCCTTCCTGGCCCTGCAGCTTAGAAGTTTCATTCACTCTGCAAATCCCGTGTTTTTTGTTCAATGGCCCGATAGTTTATTCTCTTCACCCAGACCAAAAAGACATCAAGCTGAGTGATCAGCAGGGCACAGCTGATCAATGAGGCCGTAGGCAGAGGGGAGGGAGTGGTGGGAGAAGGTGGGGTTAGGGGGCCGGGGCAGACAGGTAGGGCTGATGGACACACAATCAGGAGGCCGATCGATGAGAACTTTTGCTGTGCTTAGATAAGGGTCCAGCTCGTTCACGACGCATGATTCAGATTCTCACTGACGGGAGCTTTTGTTTCCCGTGCTTATGAAGTTTTACGCTGCTGTAGGTCACACCGTCAAAAAACAAATAAATAAAAAAATACATTGAAGAAAAACATGACGCTCCCCGATAGCATCCAACGCACGTGTACATTTAAACACTGCCGTCTCCAAAGACGTCAGGAAATCCGCTAACGTAGCTGAATAAATGCTGGGCCTCATAATGGAATGACTGTGTTGTGGAGAGGCATTGATTGAGCTCCATTCTTTCCTTTGTTTGTCTGTTTCGCTGCCATAATAGCTGAGACGCTATCGATTTGATAGATATCGGGAAAACAATGGAGCCTCATTGTCGTCTTGTTTCTCCACATTCACTCGTGAATTCTACATCTCGAGTGCAATTTCAAGGCCGTTGAGTTTTGTTTTTTTTTATATCTCAGAAAAATACTGGATTTGTTTTTTTCTGTGCAGAATATAGTGTTTGAGAATTAAAAAAGGACTGGTTTTCTATGGCCATTCAAACTACTGGATTTGAACAAAGGTGAGATGGTCTTTTACAATAGGAATTAAGTTTACTTTAAGTTTTAAAGCTCACTAAATGTCAAAAGTTCACTCAGACAAAAACAAGGCAAAACGTGAAGGGAACATAAGACATTCTGTGTTCAGTAAAAGTTCTCAAACTCCTCTAATAATGTGGGAGTCATGGACAGAAACAAAATCCCTCAATAAAAGTGTGTTTTTCATTAATTTGAGTGTTTGAACATCTAACGTCTTTTAACTGTGTTATTTCTGGTGTTTTTGTGTTAATTGCTTTCATAACGTCGGGTTTCTCTCGTCTATTTACGTTGCAACCAAAGTCAGACTATTACACTAGTCAACCTTTATATGTGTAAATGGGAAAGAGCTGTTGCCAGTGACGAGCACAAAGATTGTTATCGCCCGTGTCTTACAGTTGTGCTTAGCTCCGTGGAGCATTTTAGAGACTATTGTTTGGGTCTCAAGCCTCACAAATTCACTGTTTCAACTCGGTCTCACTTCTTTCATCAGCTTCGAATTTCTTCACCGCAGGAAGCTGATGTTAACAGAACATTTCCCGTAAAAACCAGTCAGAACGGATTTCGAGCACAAAGTTAGCATCTGGCTTCTGGAGATGCAATACGTCCAACAAACGAGAGACACTTGCAAAACAAAAGGGGAACAAATACCTACTTTTCACTGATTACTTCAATCTGCCAAAGACTTGTTCTCCACTTCTCTACAGCGTGTGAAGATTCTATGATTTCTTTTAAAGAAAAACTTTTCTCCAATGGATTTCGAGAGAACTCTGCGATTTCAATGGAGACCCTGGTGATTGGCCAAGCTTGGCTCTAATGACAGGCTACAAAGTACGGAGTGAACATCCAGATTGGACCCTGCACCATCCCAGCAGGGGATGACTCCCCAAACACATGTGCTTCTCCTCCTCCGCTGCAAAGTCTTGACAGGAGTTGGACACAAAGTGGCTTCAAGCCCAGTCAGTAAAAGGCACAGTGTGTCAAGAGGGTTGCGAGCTGATCGATAGCGAGCTAATTGGAAAATAGCAGCAGGAAATGTGATAATGTGGCTGCTCACTCTGGGCTCACTCCAGCTGAACCCTCCGTCTGACTTACCCCTTCTTCTCCTGTTCTCCCGGGTCAGGTCTAGGTCCTCCAATCTACCGGTTCTCCATTAAGACCGTAACTGTTCGTCAACCTGAGTGAATGTTGCAGCTGCTTTAACAAAGTTGCACAAGGAGTTGGAAGTTGGAAACTGTCTTCTGTTGAATTCAGACGTGAAAACATGCTTGAGGTTTAAAAATTAAAAAAAAATCAACTGACAAAGAAACTGTCACAGGAAAAAAAAATGACTGAGACAAAGAAACTGTCACAGGAAAAAAAATGATGAAACTTAATTTCATTCAGCAAGAAGACAATTAAATATGTGGATTGTTTGTTTACAGTGATGAAAGTGAAGCTTCTTCTATTTGCGGTGATTTAGAAAATACTGCGCATGTAACGATGGTACGTTCAGTAATTACAAACATCATAATCAGAGTTACTTTCATGTGCTGGGTGTAATTACATCATAAGTGTTATGAAGAAGTTTTTTGATGGGGATAAAGGCACGGGAAAACATAGCTTCAGTAGCGAGGGTTGGTGTTTTATAAGTACATAAATTTTCGAGAGAGGAGAAATGATAAAAGTCACGGTCAGTCTGGAAAATTCATATGGAAAAATATAAGTAATACAACAAAGACGTTTCGTTGACTAAGCTCTTGTAAATATGCGGATTTAATTAACAATCATTTCTTTGTTGTCTTTCTCTGACAGAACTTTAATATGAATCCGCTAATCTTGTTGATTATGTTCTAATGCTGAACTAACAGAACTCGGAGACAAAAGGCAGACTGTAGACAGAATGAGCTGTGAGGAAAAGAAAAATACTCAGAAGGAGCCGGGAGAACAGACGAGAGGGATGTAAGGAGTCTGGGAAGGAGGGGAGAAATGAGAAGACCTTTTGTACTTTCTCAGACCCTGGGGATCTTGACATGTCACCAAAAAACTGTGGTACTGGCAGCGAGGAGTGACAGTGATGCCTGTTGTGGGCCACTGTGGGATTGAATATCCTCCGCTCCTCCCTCTCCCCTGACCGGGACACTCTATCCTTTTGACAACATGTAGTGTCAGCTCAAACAGGGCAGTCTTTAATGAATCACTTCCTTCACTCACTCCCATCCTCTCACTTACAGATCCTATGGAAGATATCCAGAGAGCTAACGTGCTAGTTGGACTAGAATGCTAAAGTCAATGTGAAGACTTGAAACTTTCCACCTGCTCAGATTTCTTTGACTGTTTTTTTTTAGGGTTTTCTCATAATAGGTCACTCCCCAGTTGCCCTAGTTTACAAATGTCGAACTCAGGGCCAGCGGGCCCAATCCGGCCCGCATCATTATTTTAAGCGGTCTAACTTAGATCACACTGTAGGTGTCTTAAAATGTATAGGAGAGTCTACACTCTCCACTCCCCTTTTTAGAATTAATTTTTCCATCCACAGACTACACGTCAACGCCACCTATCTGAAAGAACTGTAATTAAATTGTACACAAGCGTAAAACGTATCACTTGGTTCTGGTTTCTTCTATTTGATGTGTTCTGTGCAGTTGTAAATTGTTGGTCACAGACTGAGACGTGGTCCCGGTCTGTGGACTGCTTATCGTTAATATTCTAACAAACCAGTGTTTTAAAATGTGACGGTGGTACAAAAGCTACGTCTGCAACATTTCCACCCTCAAGAATGATCTGTAGCTATTGACATGCTTCCAATTACACAGGCATGCGGCCTGAGAAAGTTATTGACAGTTTCTCATCAGCGAGGAACCACATTAAGCTCTGCATTACCGTTCTCCTCTAGTCTTTTTTTTTTAATCAGAGTGGAGAGCTTATCAAAGGGAGCTGCACCTTAAAAAAAACGTCTTCCTCTTTTCTTCTCAGACTATCTCCGCTCCGGCAACACCATTTATTCTGCTGTGAAGACAAGCCAATCTTGTTTTGTGTGCGTGTTCCCCTCCTGAAAAGCTGCCTGGGCTTACCTGTATCTCCGGCTTCATCAGCCTCCTGATGAAACCCATACTGGCCTTTGGGTTGATAAGGTAAGCTCAGCAACCAGATATATCCATCATTGCCTTACTTAAGACACACCAACCAGACACGAGTACACACACTCATACTTACCTGCTTGTGTGATCGAGTGCGTGTGCGCCCGCCCGCCCGCGTGCTTGTGTGTGTGTGTGTTAGAGAGGCCGGCTTTGTATAGGGTGGCGATGTGTTATACCTTAACAAGATTAGGATTAGAAAATGTGAATAAATTCACACAGTCTGCTGCCAATGCAGTAATCAAGTGGCGTCAAACAAAAGAGGAGTTCATTCGGTGTCACTAATTCCTGCACTGTGGCTTCACAGCGCTGCGGTTTCATTATTCTATTAACCCCCGTGTCTTCCTCCAACAACTTACACACACACACTTGTGCACAAAACCCTCATAAATTGTGTTATGGGACTGCTGCCAAAACAGAGGCTGGGTTCAGCTGGGTACTTAATCATCTTCTATAGCATGTAATACATGTAAACAGTGTTTGTTTACGCACCAACAGAGCACATAGCCCTTATCCCTCTCCCAGGCTCCAGTTAGCTGTTACGTGGCAGCATACCTGGAAACAGTGGTTCTCGTGTGTGAGGACCAGAGGTTGCGAGGTGTTTTATAATAGACTCTCTTTTGCCAAGTCGGAGTGGAAACGTGAAAAAGAAAATATATGTCTGTATGTTTTTCCGTGTCAGTGCAACCAGGTGGTCAGATGGGTGTAAGTCTGGACAGAAAGATGAATTATGCTTGGGAGAGGTTCGAGGGAGGCGTACGTACTGTGTGCTGACTCACTTCACCTGCATTGTAAAGCAGCATAAAGAAGGAGACATTTTGACCATGTGAAACCTGCCTGGTCTGAACATCGCCCCGTTAAACCCTGCCACCGCCTTTGAATGATGTAATTTCTTTCGCATCCCTCGGTTGGTTTCCACGGTCACAGTGTACACAAGGTCATTTAGTTTCTGATCAATAGCTGGTATTGAGCCTACAATGCCCACACCACCCCTTGTTTCTGCAATGGCCGTTAAATCGATGGGAACAAATGAAATTAGGCTCCTGGGCAGCTCGGAGGAGCAAATGATCTTCCTGTGATTAATAACACACTGTAAACGCGTCTGTGCCGGGCACATCACATCAGAGTGTTTCTCCACCTCGGTTTGTTTCCTCGGGGTGAGCCGAGGAGAATAAAGCCGTCGTAATGGTGTTTACGTGGGTGAAGCGCCCCGTGGTAAAACACTGACACAAAGAAGAAGATGAGAATCTTCTCTTTTGAAGAATATAAAATGACACATCAGAGGAGCGGATTCCCATACCTTGATAATATAATGGCTCCGTTCAGTTCAAACCCAGTTGTCACGTGCTTCGCTAATGGCTGCAAAAGTGAATTACGCTCCAGAGTCGACTGAAATTTTGACAGGAGAAATGACAGAGTGTCACACTGACGTGTCTCTGGGTGTCGGATCGGAGAGATGGAAACATGATTTACTACGTTTTGCTTATTCTAATAAAAGAACACACAGTTAGCGTCGACTTGGAAAGTCAGTCATTTTGTTGACATCTAATAAAAAATATTCATACTTTTAGATCAGGGGTCACCAACTGTATTTGTCTAAGGACAGACGCCTTGGTCTCAGCTGTTGATTTTTATCAGTTTCTCCAATAGTGGGCACCACAAGTTTGGATTTAAGTCGTTAAGTCTGATTGCACTGATGCCATTAGTGAGAATTCCAAAACCTGGCAGAGTTTGGATTTTGGAGCCATAAGGACCTGGAGCTGGGTTTGTATCCCATCTAGTGTCTTCTGATTTAGGAAACATGGGATCGTAGTGCAATCACACAGCAGGTTTAGTGGTGGCTTTAATGAGGAGCCAGAGAGAGTCTTCTCTGATTGTAGTGTCATCGTCTTCACGCTGACGATTCAAAGAGATGTTGTCATTGCCATCAGTGATTTGAGTGGCCAGGAAAAAGAGATTACACATCAAGGTCCACACTCCACACTTTTAACCTGTCCAGTATGTGTGTGTGACATCATCGGCGTGGTTCCAGAGGACCACACACTCTAAGAAATAATCCCACATACTGTATAATTTAGTCCCTTCTCCTTCCCACAATGAAAGAAATCCTCAGTCTTTGCAACCCACACCGGCCCCCGAGTATATGGTTCTACCGTGTCTCGAACCCAGGACCTTCTGTGTGTAAGGCAAATCTAGGTAGTCATGATAACCGCTACAGTATAGA